GAATGACCAGTATAAGCAGTCGTCCACGAGCGTCCAGTTACGCATTGTGTACCAATAACCAAGGAGTCCAAGTAAATACGCCAGCTTGATCGCTACATACAGCGTGATGTGTTAGCTGGACTTTGAATCGAAATTGATCCGCAACACCCACCGGTACGACGCCCCGGGAATATTGCTAGATGAAGGCCGAGCTGTGGCAAACCCATTATATTGCAGAAGATGTGAGATGTAAGTGGTGGAATGATAGATCCTGTTCGAGCAAATAAGAAAGCTGTGTGGAAACCAAATAACGATGTATATGACAACTGGAATACTGTGGAGAAAGTGTGAGAAAATACATAACCCAGGCGACAGACACGTACTTGTTTCCAATATAGCTCGCTGGGCCGCAGCCTTCGTGCGTCCGAAGCGGTTAAATTTGTCCCATGCATGATGGACATGGGCTGATAACTATCAATCTGTAGTCCGTGCAACGACATCATATGTTGCACCCACCTAATCCAAATAGTAAGGGTGGGAGAAAAATCTTCATATAGACCGAAGCACCCGCAAGTTGATAGACGGCTAGCGTACATGCTCGAAATACAACTTCTTCAGTTGTTGGACCCTACTCTAAGACTTCAGCACGTGTAGTCCATAAGTACGTAGCCATATTTACTTACAACAATGAAGTCTCGCCAGCCTTGCCACGTCGTGACAATCGGAGCAATGCACCGTCGCCAACTCCAGCTGCGTTGAAATGGCAGCCTCCCCGCGAGAAAATACGCGTACAAAGGGCCAGCGTATAGCACGGGAGTGACTAGAGAGGGTAGGACAATCTGGGATAGAGAAAGGTCTGTGTCAAAACCTAGGCGAGTAAGGGTAGTCTCAAGGGCAATAGGCAATTCCTGTGCTCCTGTCAATACAAGACGTAGCATTACAGTATGTCGAACAGGAAACACACCTTCATATCCCATCCGACAAACGCCCAGACCACTCCGAGAACAACGACACAGCTCGATACAGTGCTGAGGCCAGCTGCAGTTACTCGTGCGCGGATCACATCGGGGTCATTCCGCCAGCGTTCGTCGTCTTCTTTTGCGCGCTGCTCCCCTTCACGAAGATCGGGTGCGACGACTTTCTTGAAAGACAAGCGTGCATTCTTCGAGATATAAAGTGAGCCGACATACGAGCCAACGAATGACAGCGCAAGTGCATGCGCAGTATTGAGCGAGATGGGCGGGCTCGCGAAGGCGAGAGGCATCGGTACGTGGACTAAGGGAGGCGAGAGATGGATGCGCTTGTCTCAAGAGTCGGTCGTATAAAAGAGTATAGACAAGATCATGAGGAGATGAAAGGGCATGTGTCTGGACAATTGCGTGGCAGAGGTGATTGGTCGCGTCGCCAGGGGGTATGTCAAAGCAGGCAGTGCTTTGACAGTCTAATCGGCACTCAGTTCGTGGTGGCTTGCCAAAGCTCTCCCAGAATGTGGCGGCTCAAGGATGCTTATTGTCTCGAATCGGGAGAAGTCCAGGTCCGCGACCCCGCAGTAAAAGTGAAGGCCTTCGCTGGCGTTGCGCGCAGACGAAGTGTTGCACTGCGTCCTGGCTCGGAGGTGGCCTGACCGTCGTCGCAGCGTCGGCCAGGAAAAATGTGAGCCAGAGGGGCATGCAAGCGGGCCGGGGCAGAATGATATCAATTTGAACGTTATTTAAGCCCATCAAATAGGCATGATAGCTTCAAAGGTTTGAACAATATAGCATTGTAGATGAAATCTCGACTATGAATCGTATATTGCAATCGATTGGGCCTCCAACCTCTTGTTAGGCGGCTGAACCAATGCGCCACATGCATCATGGATGTCTCGAGTATCTAATGTCCTCCCATACTAGCCAGCATGATTATAGACCCACACGACGTTTCTGGTGAGTGCGCAATGTTCTATTGACGTGCCTCTGAATTCCAAGACTGAATTGTCATTGCCAATAGATCCATTTAGTGACGACCTCTCCGCTGTTGAGCATCTTCCTGAGTGAGAAGTGGGATCACTACAAGCTTTCCAGACGTCTTGACACAGCTTTTGTTAGTTACGCATCCGAGACTGCGACAATATCATCCTCTTCTCGGCCTCCTCGGTTCGTATGTCCTTGGCAATGTGACTGCGTGGCTGACTGCGTACATGGCCCTTACAGATACATCCATATTGAACGCCCAACACAGCCTCTAATATACTCTTTCGTGTCATGGAACTCTAGTTCGATGATGCTGGTGCCGCCAAGGACCATTGACCCAGGTCGTGGTGCAATCTATTTCATATCCGTGAAACTTGACCTCAAGCCGTTCGCGCCACTATCATACATCACTTCTGTCCATAGAGGGTCTGATGAAAATGGAGAACTTGTTGGAGAATTCGAGTAAGCTCAGTGACTGGTACACCGTTCATGAACTCATCTTCCTCAAATAGACTCGGGATCACTCATACGCGTGCTACCGTTACAATAGGTCATTATGCGACGAGATTGAAGAACGTCCTCCAGCATGATGGTCGTTCATCAGTGGGCATGTTTTCTTCAACGCGGTATGCTCTGGTTGACACTGCTGCTCCTCAAATAGCGAAAGTTTACTTGGCGACACGGCTCCATTGACCTCCGTTGGAATTGTTCTACTACACTTGACGATGGATCACCCATGTGCATTGTACGTCACTCTCATCCTGAAAGGGTACTCGCAGACTGATCTTTACACAGTGTTCGGATTCTGCTTCTCATCAGCTCGCGTCATTTGTTCCGCCTCCTTTAGACGCATCTCCGCCGCTTCCTGAAGCAACATTGACAGTCTTTCCAGATGGCCACCGGCTGTTTGATCATATCCTTCTATCTGCTCTTGTAGTAGAACGAAAGATGACTTTATCCGGATGACGGGCGATTTGTAGCGACCTGTCTCGTTCTGGAATTCAAGGTGAATGGGTGATGCAACTCGCTTTAGGTGTGGGTCAGGGTTAAATTCTTCCGTGAGTTGTGTGTGGATCTCGTTATGCCTAGATGCGCTCTGTGAAGACGTTTATGGCAGCTCTTCACGCAAACCTAGATGGTATTACGACCTGATCGGACTGTTTACGAAGTACGCACCGTGAACTCACATAATGACCGGTTACCTGTCATAGACAAATACGCTGTCCTAGTCAATTTTCTGGAAGCTTCTTCCTTCAGTCTCATTTACTTGTGGTCGTAGGTATGTTGCCCATACCTTGTTCGATCAGACACGTCAATTAGAAATTAACGAAACTCTCGCATCATTCCACAGTGCTGAGTAGCTGCGCTTTTAGAGCGTGAATGTTCACGATTTTCTGTGAGCGATCTTTTCACCATCGATCTCTTCTCTGAGCAAACTCTCTGATACTATAGTATCAGGTGCCTGATTATACTCTCAGTCAAAGGAGATGATGGTGCTTTGAGAGTCTGATTTCTCTTCATCAGCAAAGCGTACGCCTGATCGGAAATGGGAGTACACCTGTCCCAGTGTGCGAACCTGGGCACTATATGTTCAACATTTAGCGTTTATAACAGCCTTCGCCGCCTGGTGCGGAGCTGACACTATCGTCAAAGACACGCCATTTGGATGTGGGCATATCAGAGAAACGTTTCGCTCCGGATGCCGACTCTCAGAATATCTCAGCTTCTGAGCATACGTCTGTGAACATGGTTTGATGCTTTCATCACGAAGTGGAGTCATCCGAGCGGTCATCTGCCCCATAAACATTTGTGACGAGTGTCTCAGTTCTTGGAATTCGTAAGTATAAGGCATTCCATCGGGGATTCATACTTGATGTGGATAGCTTCGATGTCAAATTTGATTTCACGGCTTATTGCGTGTCCTCTGTAGGAAGGTAGGCCTGGACTCAAGCGTCTTCTTCTGTGTGTGGAATTGAACCTGTCTGTCGGAGACAGGTCGCCTGAAGAGAAGTTTTTCCTTCACATACTTCCCAGTCAACGGTTTGTAAAGGGTCGGCAACATTTCGCATGCGACTTTCACAAAGTATATGGTCACACCAGCGTCACCCGATGCGTCGAGAGTTATGTCAATCGGAGGCGCCCCCGACCCTCGCAGCCGCCCACCAGTCTCATATAGGACTAGGTGCCTGAAGTCACTATCATCGCCGACTATTGATCCTCACTGATCACAATGTCGTCCTCCAAACTCATCTCTGACACCCTCCAACGTTCGGCACGCATTCGTGGTGCATTTCATGAGCTTAACAAGTACGCCGCCCATCCAGCTTATGGAGTGCCTCTTGAACAAGTCAAGTCGGCGCTGGAGGCTCAGAAGGGTGCCCCGCCTAAGTCAACACCTCGACAGGCGCCAGCAGAGTGCGTTTTTCATGCAATCCTTAGGGATCCATTGTGTTCATGAGATTTGTAGAAATGATCTCGTTGGAAGGCTTCTACAAGACAACCAGGACATTTGGGACCAGTTATGCAACCATACGTTCCCACATAATGTTATGGGAACAATGAAGACCACCGACCCGGGCTACAAGAATGCTGTAGCTGGTTTTGCGTGGTATATGGTGGTAAGCATCGGTCCTATTCCTATCTTTCTGAAGTCGTCATTTGATTGTGGACGTCAACTATGTCTTTGTTATAGCAAGATTTCAAGTATTGCACCCGAGAGATGGTATTCCAAATAGAACGCGCAACAAAATCAACTTCTACAGATGAATTTACTGCGACAACTGCCAAGGTCAAGAATTATTGTGGCTATGTTGACGATTCACTGGCTCTTTGCGTTGCGGCTCCGCCAGCCGGCTTGGGTCTGAACGACAAGCAAGTTCTACAGGCCGATTCTACGGATGCCTTGAATTATTACACAGACTTCCAGCTCATTACTGCGAAAGACAATAACTGGGCTCTTGGTTTGGTTGCGATGATACCTTGTGTTCAGGTGAGCAAGTGCCTGCTTTATGCCGTCTGGTGAGCGCTAATCGTATTGGACTTCAGTCGTATTGGACGATCGCAAACAGTCTGAAGAACAATCCCGACGTAGATCGGAGTAAGTACATACGACTTTGAACAACATTCTGGTGTTAATTAATGATACGCTCGATATCTAAAGACTCAGTTTGGTATAACCTATGGATAGCGCCCAATTCAGACTATGCCAATTCTGGGATTCCGGGTCAAATTGGTATGTTCTGCTCCGGTCTTTGAACCCATAATTCCGACCTGTACTTTGTAGCGTTCTTTGAACAGAATTACGTAGAGTGGAAAGACCATTATGAAGAAGCTAAGGAGATCTTCAGGCAGGCGTGTATGGGCGAGATCAACTTGTGGGGCATTACTGCCAACCCTCCTTCCTGGTTAAACGTGCAAAAAAATTAAGTTAATAGCCTTCAACTTCGTATCGATCGGCCTGTTTATGATCCTTCTGAGCCCTTCGTCGTCATTGTGTATTCTAACTACTAGTCAGAATTGTATTTCTAGTATCGGTATGAAAGGTGTCTCGCATCAAACACGCCCTCGTCCTATGTTCACTACCGGTGGGTGAGCGATCGAAATCGGATCGTAGGTAATTTTCGCTGTGATCACAAGTGAGTGAGAGTTGTCTGTCATAGAAGTCGCTTGCCAGGAAGTATAGGGGCCAAGGTAGCCGTGCACTACCAGATGGCCCAATTCCTGCTTAACATCAACGTTTTCTGCTTAGATGATGAGCACCTTCCCGCTCGTGTCTGTGCGGCGCTGAACGAACTTAAGTGTTGTGCTGCCAACCCTAATTATGGAGCTCCCCTTGAGCAGCCCGAAAGGGCGTTGGGAATGGTTGAACTTGTAGCAGATATCTCGCCTGAGTATGCTTTGATTCTCGATTGCATTACTACATCCTAATGCAGCCGATAAGAGACACCTCTTCCATAGCTCATTGTTGAAGCAAAGCGGCCTGGAACATTTTGATGAACCGTACATTTTCCGCAACAAGTCATGGCAGCACTGTGGGCAGGGATTCAAAGTCCTGCAGATTGGTCGAAGCCGAAGTAGGGGTAGACGATTGGAGATTATCTGCGTTCGTGAATGCAGAAAGAGTATATTGATGAGTTGTTATTTTCGATATGATGTCGGCTGCTGCTCGCAGTTTGGAGACGAACACTACGCCTTCTATATGTAGCATTTTGCGATGGTTTGTCAGCAGAGGGAACGCGTCGCCACTTAGGGCGCGATCGTAACGAGAGTGTCAGAGCCAAGGACCCGCTTGACAAATGCTGCTTGTCTCCCTCTCTGTCAGCCCGCACACCTGATCTCCAACGCCGCAGCGTCTGACATATAATTTTAAGGGCAGGGTGAGCGTCTCCTACCATGCAAGGTCTTCTCCTTTTCTCCTCTCATCCTCCCCGTCTCGCTTTATTCTCCGTAGCACGCATACTCGTTCCTATCGCGCATCTGCCTGATCACAGACACCACCCATTTGCTGTTCGTGCCATGAGCACCAAAGACGTTTCACGCCAGAGCGACATCAACAAGATGACGACTGATGGCGACGGCTCCTTCAAACGCAGGCCATCGTCCTTCCGGAACTTCATCGAGCCGGGCGGTAAATTCGAGCCAGAGAAAGGTATGTGAGATTCTGAGTGGGGGAGGAGTCGCATTGAACTTAAGCCGCTGTCCAGATCGCTACCATCTCTATATTTCCTATGCTTGTCGTAAGTAGATGATATACTTGAACATCTTTCGGCCTTCGTTCAACGTCTGTATCAATAGCTTGGGCTACGAGGACTCTCATCATGAGAAAGTTGAAGGGGTTGGAGTCTTTTATTGGTAAAGAGGTAATTTCATCTTGTTATCGTTTCCACGCCTGATCCCGCCTAGACGTCAGCATCGTCTCCCCGCACATGGGCGAGCATGGCTGGCCCTTCGCGTCTGCAGATGCGTACCCCGGCGCGACAGACGACCCGATCCACAAGTCTGCTCATGTCAAGGATCTCTACATGCACGCAGCCCCGGATTACGATGGGCGGTTCACTGTTCCCGTGCTCTGGGACAAGAAGACAGACACGATCGTGAACAACGAGAGCTCCGAGATTATTCGGATGTTTAACACCGCATTCAATCACCTCCTCCCCAACGAGAAGGCGCAGCTTGACTTTTATCCCGCACATCTTCGTGCAGAGATCGACGAAGTCAATGAGTGGGTGTACGATACTGTAAACAGTACGTCCCTGATGTGGAAATTCTCATTATCATGTAACATCTGTCTCTAGATGGTGTCTACAAGTCCGGGTTTGCGAGCACTCAGGCCGCATATGAAGCTGCAGTGCGCCCTCTGTTCGAATCCCTCGACAAACTTGAGGGTATGCTCAAGGGGAAAGAATATCTCGTCGGTAATCAGCTCACCGAGGCGGATATTCGCCTATTTGTTACCATTGTATGCACCGACTATTTCATGTCCGCGGACATTCGCTAATTCGGTCACTATAATACTAGGTGCGGTTTGACCCAGTGTACGTGGTACACTTCAAGTGCAACATCCGCACGATTCGCGACGGTTACCCCGAGATCCACCGCTGGATGCGCCAGTTGTATTGGAAAATCCCTGCATTTTCCGAGACATGTGATTTCGACCACATCAAAACCCACTACTACTGGTCTCACCCCTTCGTGAGCTTGACTCCTATTTTATCCGATCGTTCAGTGATAATGTTGTCGACTGGTTCCCAGATCAACCCTCACAGGATCATTCCCGCTGGTCCGATCCCTAATATCCTGCCCCTTTGAAGCCTTGTGGTGGGTATTCTGAAGCACGAGTAATCTTTGCGCCGTTTGTATCAACATCACTTGTGAAGCCGTGTAAGTGAACTGGAGGAAGCTCAAGCGAACCGTTCGGTGTATCATCATAGTTTGACAGACCAAATTACAGATAATGGATCATACAGTGTGAAGTCAAATGAAGGATACGGATACATGTGAGAGGATACTGCCACAACAAGCCAAAAAGTGACATTTAGAGGCATCCGAATAGTAGAAGAGCCTCCAAGAGCCATCCGAATTCGAGCGAATTAGACCTTGCGACAAAACGCGGGGGCAGAGACCAATGCCAGACTCCAACAAGTGTCCAGTGGAGGTGTAGAACCAGTCATTAAAAGCAAAGAGCCAAGCCCAAGAGAATAGCACTGGCGCTCAGAGATATTTGCCAGCCAGTTATAAAGTTAGTGTGCGTGCCGGAGTTGACCTTTCTTGAGCCGCTTAAGGTAGAACTTGTGGCAGTGTTACTTGCTGTGATGCCTGAATCACCGAACGTGGGTCCCTAAACCGGTCAAATGAGCATGAGGTTAGTCAAGACATGACGATATGGCCCCAAACAGTGCATTGGCTAGATGTTATCGTATCCTCAGTGGACCAAAGTATGGCACGTACCGGTGTAGCCGAGATCATGGTCGAATGGGTCGCGGACGTCATGGTCGGCGTTGTGGTCGCATTTGTTGCGTTTGAAACACTGCGGACCAGTAAACCATTGCCTATAGAAGAATATGTTGTGCAGAGCGAGCTCGACGGGGCGGGGTGGGCGGAGGGGGTAGTAGGTTGATTTTGCTTCCAAGTCGACGTGCCATATACTCCCATGGGCTATGCGCATTCAATCAGCAGACTCCTAACCACCACTGCATCATACAATGTATACCCACCTCGCCGTCGTCGCCAGAACACCGCTCGAAAACCCCAGCGTCGTAGTTTCCGGGCATATTCCATAAACAGCCCATGACATCGTATATATGCTGGCAGAACGAAGTTGCAGATGGGCCGGGCTTGCACGCGCGGAAACAAAACTGTGTATCCGACATATAGTTCTACACGTGTGTGCGCATGAGATTGAGCGCTACCTCTGCGAAGCACACTAACCGTCCATTCATGCAGTTGCTGAAGCTGTCCAAACGCATTCGAAAAGACTAGCCCGCCTATGGGATTTCCATTACCGTCTGCACCATGAGGATCGAGCTCTCCTCCTTGATCGCCAGCTGGAATGTTGAGCCTCGTCAGGTCACCGACGCCCGTGACTTGTACATAGTCGGGCGTTTGGAGGAAATGGGCTCCAGTGATGCTCCCGTCGGGGATAAGTCGCGTGCCGTATCCGTCTCTGAGACACCAGGAGACTTCCACGCGCTCTGTGTCGCCAATAGTCGCGTTGGGGCCAGAGTATGGAGGCGCGAAGAGACAGAAGTCGTCGACTGAGTTTACTGGAAAAGCATATAAAAATAGGTCGCTTTACCCGGACAAAAAAGTCTTACTGTACGCATTCTGGCACAAAGACGTTTGACTCGACACTGAACCGCATTCATTGGTTCCATATTGACCCTGCTGTGTGTGATCCGGCGCGTTGGACGGGAGATAGGTTGCAGTATAGGTCTGGGCTTTGATGCGGGTGCTGAGGACAAGAGCGACGATGAGTGCAAGCATCTTGTAATTAAGAAAAGAGCGTGAAGAAAAGGACTGCAGTCGAGCAAGTTGCGCAGCACTTGGGCGAGAAGCGGTAGTTGTGGTTCAAGTTGTAGGGCGGTCACAAGACACCAACCTCGATCTTAGATACCTACCACATTTAGACTTGAGATCATAACGGCCGCATTTATATCCGATAATCAAATTCTGAGATGACGACGCGTGCTCTTGCCGGACTGTGTCTTAAATAGATGCGATCCTCTGGGAGCCACCTCGCTGAGTAACGGGCGGCCGCCTCCATCTTTCCCAGCATCGCCGCCTCCCTCGCCGCCTCCCTCGTGCGACTCATCGTCAACCATGTCCTCCACAACGTCGTCGGGGTCCTCCCAGACTGCGAGCCCGAGCCCGAGTACTAGTAGCTCACCCAGCATCTTCTCAGCAAGTGGCACGCCTGCCTTCATTCTCGCCTTTCTTGCTATCGGGCTCTTCGTTGGCGGCATGCTCGCCATGTTTGCGCTGCGTCGGCGACTCATCAGCAGAGGTGTCCGGGCATGGTTCTCGAGTGACCTTTCTGTGGACCCCGGAGCAGGTAATGAACGAACGAAGCGGAAGAAGGATTTCGGGAAACGTCCGGAGTTATGGGATATCTACGCTCGAGAGAAATGCGTGAAAGATGGCATGTGGAAGGAGGTAATGGTGAGCTTATCTTTCCATGTCTTTCCCTGTCGAGTCCGCCAATAATCAACGTCAATAATTAATCTTTGTTGGCTATTTTAGCCCATCTCGGCCAAGTTTATACCCTCGTATACCTCCGAGCAGCCGCAAGAATTTCTTCCACCCGTTGAACAACATAGAAATCTGTGGCTTCCCCAGCGATTAGATGCGCTCAAATTCTTCCATCGCTCTCCGACTACATCGGTTCCCCAGATTGCTATACCATCGAGGCCAAGCCATCTCGAGATCACAGTTGCAGTCTCTATGCCTATCCACAAACATTCCGAATCCGATCAGTTTGATTTTACTTTTGGATCGGCAAAAATACCACTGAAAGATGAATTCATGGATTTCGCGAACGGACAGTTGGAAGGAAAGGAAGTTGAGGGTCAGTGATCTGCATGTCATTTTGGTGTACTTCTGCGTCCAAGTTGTTGGTGACTAGTATGCTCCTTCTTGGTTGTCCGTGACATAACTTATTTGTATAGAGTAGTCATGTTACTGCAGAATCAGTGTACGCATTACGATCATGTTACTCCCCCAACTTGGACACATTCACACATATGTATGTAGTACGCTCGCAGTTGCAAGATGGCGTATACCACGCAGTGTATTAACTTCTTGTCATGTAGAAATGAGTCAGATTGGATGATTTAAAAGACAACACGGGAAGACAATTAGCCATGAGAAACTACCGTAAATCCACACTCGTCCAGCTACACTCAAGACTTAAGTTCCTGCCATGCCCATGACGCCAACGTGGTCACGAATCTTAGCAATCTCAGATACGCTCATTGACCCTTTACTGGCGCAGAAGAAGTCTTCCCATGCGCGTGCAGCGTCGTTTCGATTGGAGAACTCAGAACTATCATATGCATTATAATCATAAGTTAGTCAAAAACGTCGAGGTGAATTGCCACTCACGCAAGGAAGCTATATAAATGTTCCCAGAATGCAGGCTGTGCGAGCGTGGTGTGATACGGTGTGTTCGGGGCTGAGGCTGCAGGTGCAGCTGGTATACTTGAGGTATCCAACACAAGAGGAATATCCACGAGCTTCTCGCCAGGCGATGGTAACAATGAAGGTGAAGGGGAGAGCACAACAGATGGGATGCGGCCATGCCCAGAGCGTGTCTTATGCGTCGGCTCCGGAAGTAGAACGATTGAGTCGTTTTCAGTGACCATCTGTGGCGATGGTACAGAGACTTGCGTTGGATCCCAGTCGAATCCAGGTTTCACCATAAGATTCACAGTGTCTCCATCCTTAACATTATACTCCTGCAGCAACTTGGCATCCGCCAACGCCTTTCCCTTTAACAGTAGTCGCTGCACATCTGCAGGTGGTGCCCCGGGTTGTGTAGCAAGTTGAGATTTGATGTCAGAGATCGTATCGGTAGGCTGGATAGACAAAGTATACGCTTGCGAGGGCTTAGTCGATTTAAACGTGATGCTAAGGAAGCCTGTGGTGAAGTAAACACTCGAATCAGCGGGGGTGCGTATGGATGATCACCGACCTGTAGGTGCCACCGCCTGAGATTTACGCTCAGGCGGAGAAGGAACTTCAATCTAAGAGGTTTTAAGTGATGGCTGGTTACACTATGGAGATACACGCACCGGCAGCACAGGGACCTTCCTCAACGAATTCTCGGGTGGCTGCTGGAAGTCATTTGCGTAGGTGACTGGTTGTGCAGACAGGTTCTGCACGAATGTCTTGACGAATGCAAGCTCTGCCTGTTCCGCCATTCCGGGACGTTGCAGATGGTACAATTTAGGGAAGCGACAATATGAACACCTCGCAGTCAAATACCAGTAGTAGTGGAGTTGACAATTGGCTGACCGCCTGATAAGCGCCTTTGTGACAGATGCGCATGTCACGGTACGTCACAGAGCCAGCTCAGCGTGACGTTGCCGTCCGTTCCGAATCGCATTTAGTTGACTGCCCTCGACAATCGACCATGGCGGTAAGGTATATCAATCATTGTCCATTGCAATGCACTAATCCTGCAAATAGTCCGGATTCGGTTTCCACGGAGGTAGGCTGTGCGGCGGTATCTTCAGGTGCTTCTTGACCGAATGAATGGTACGTGCCAGGTGTTCCTCGCTGTTTTGCTTTTTGGCAAGAATTCTCCAAGGTATGCAATACACGGTTCTTCTTTGGTCGTGTACTCATGCTGCTGTACATTCAGTGCTACGCGCAGTCTGACACTCCGAGCCAGTGCCGACCACACGCGGACGACTACCTCGAATGCTTGCATCACACGAATGAGGTTCGTTGTATGCTCCCAGATAGACTTATCCACTTGGCCCATGTATCTTATTCAATTATGACCCTTTCTACGCAGATTGCTAGAGCGAAGGCAATCAAGGCCGAGTTTGTGAGGAAGGCGGAACATCAGGCGCACGAAGGGCGAAAAGCGGCGGACATCCTCGCAGATGGCGTAATTGTGGGTGTCGGATTGATCCAACGAAGTGGAGAGGGGCAGGGCAAGTAATTTTACTATGCTTGTACATTGCTGTCGTGACCACGCTTGATCGCATACGATACGGAGTCAGGAAGCTACTTTCGCTTCGGCTGTAACGGCGTGCTTTGAGCGGCGTGAGCTTAGCGAAGTAACGCTGCTGGACGCCTGTCGTTACATGGGATACGCGTGTAGTAGCAGCACTCAAGCAGCAGTTGTATGTCTGCACTACTTCCTTACCGTTTATGCTACAAATGTGGCTGACCGGGAGTCTGAACTTCCTGTGTGGCTGATTTCCCTCAGCATGGCATCGGAGTTTGGAAATGTTACTCCGCGATTGCCGATTTGACGGATTGGGTTCCTGAATCCCTGTCCTCCTTTTCCGTCACCCACATTTTCACTCAACACGACGATGACCGTACGCGGTCTTGGATCCATAGGCTCCCCCATTGTCATTTCCGACGACGAAGAGACAGCAGCGTATATGGAGCGGCAGCTTGCTCGCCTCGAGACGGTACTGCAACCTAATGCGCTGCTGCCCTACAATTGGCAGTCGCAGCCGGAGATGACTGATTTACAGAACGACGAGATGATGACTGGAAGTAGCATGCTCAGTGCGTCGCCATCTCCTTGATCTCGATGACCCAGGTGCGATTCATTCCAGGTGGTCCGAAAGTTGCCGTGACAGGCCAAAAGCGCAAGAGAGGCAACAGCTCACAAACCGATATACCTCAAGTTGACATACCCCCGGTCGAGAGCCGAACCGCACGAAAGAAGAGGCGAAGAAAAGAGAAGCAGCTAGCACAGTCTCAAGGACCTACTCCCGTTCCACCCCCGACTGCCAACCTGCCACTCCCTATCAAACCCCCAGTACAAGCCTCGCGCAAGAAGGCCCCTGCCGCGCAACCAGTGCCAGAGAAGTATGTGCCTCATAACGTGCCTGAGATATTGCCTCCTGTGTCATGGTCCTCATATGCCTCTGTGCCTTCCGCGCCTCCCGCTGGCCCACCGTTGATTCCCTCCCTTCCTCTCAAGCCATCGGCGCTGACCGCGTCCCTCGGAGCCAGCTTGGTCAACGCCCACGCATCTGGCTCCGCTCCGCCGGTGCGCGGCAACTCACACCTCACGCCTTCCCCTTCTACCTATCCCGCTGATTCCCAGGACGCGACTGCAACTTCGGCGTCCGCTGATGCTTCTTCTGTAAAGCCCAAAAAGATAATAGGAATGTCATCGGACGGAGGCACTCAAGGCACACATGGTTTGTTCACCATAGCACAGGGTGGCACGTCTGTGCCGAACCCCTCTCGTACGCTAGTGCTGGAACTTTTGCCCAAAAAGTTTCGCAATTTAGCGTTCGTGCGGAATTGGGCACATCGTTTTGCAAAGCGGCACCTCCGTGTTGAGATGGATAGCGCCACAGGGAAAGCACTGGTCGAGTTCCCTCATACAGACAAGGCCCAAGCTGCTTTCAATAGTCCTCGCCTATTCGGAGAAGGGAAAGACAATATTCGTGCGTGGTGGTTCAGACCGTCGTTTTCTCAGGTGTCGGCTGTAAACGATCTCGAGGAAGGCGAAATCGAAGAGGATGTTGGCAATGATAATCCACCTGATGCCCAGGTATCAGGTAAGAAGAAGGTGAAGGAGAAGCAAAAGCAAAAGCAGAAGGCGACAAAGAAAAAGGCGGCGGACAAGCGGAATGTGCCGGTCGCATCGACTTCTGCTCTTTCTCCGGAGCCGGTCGACGAGGATGCGTTATTGTCTGCACTATTTGGACGGTCACGGTCTCAGAATTACCAAGATATGCTCGCTTCTTGGCCCAACGCATCTGCCTTCCCTCCTGCTTCGCTATCTCAATCCCATGCTGGCAATGCGTTCATGGCCTCGTCCATTGGTCCTCCTTTCCCAGTGGTAAATTCATTCATGCCATCGACGACACGCTCGATGATTTCCACTGGTACATCCTTTGGGTATGAGTCGTCGTCAGTCGATCGCTCTGTTCCAGTTATACCTAGTATATCTGCCCACGAATTTTCTCAGGCAGTATCATTACCAATGGACGAAGAGCAAGCCATGGATCTTGAATCGGAGAATGGCGGTTACGACGCGTCGCTCGACGTCGTCGAACAGGAGGCATCTGGTACGATGAACGAATTTGTTGATGATAACTTCTCTATTGCTTCATCAAGAGCGTCCGAACCGCCTCTTCCGAGTCATCCATTACAGACCCCGCTTGCAGCAGAAACGACCTCGTATAACATTCCTATGGCTGAATTCTCGGATGACATCCCAGCTCCACCGGAGTGGGGAAGTACTGGTGATCCCGTTTCCCCTGCCGCAGTTGTTTCCATTGTTCCAACACCAACACCTTCCCTGGAGCCAGTTCCTCCTCCGATCGACTCTACAACAGTCGTTCTCCAAAAGGAGACCTTGACACCCCTTGCACGGGAGGCCACCTTCACGCAGCCACCTTCAGACGATGTCGGTCCACCTTCCCGATCGCTGGTCCCGGGCGTGAAAAGCATCAGTCCTCCACTCTACGAGAAGGCGAGAGATGATGAACCTTTCAGGACTTTCGGTCTCACGAAGCAGGCACTTCTGGATCGTCAGATTGCATTGGAGAAACATATTGCTCGCGCCAAGCTCGAACTCGCCCTGAAACAGGCAAACAATGGTGGAGGCGCTCCTGTTCGTAACACACACTCCCATTTACCTCTCCATCCCTTTGTACACGGAGTTACTGGATTGAAATCGTCTGGAATACAATCTGCTCCAGAAGATACACGCAGTGATCGCTCTTCTACGACAAGTTTGCCTGCAACGCGACCTCCATCTGCGACAGGTATCCCAAAGTCCGTTGATTCAGAGCCTGAAGACGCCATGTATGGTAGTACCTTTACACCAGTTCTGCTGTCGTCATCAACTTTGGAAGTCACTACTCCGATTTCGACCCCCGTTATGATTCAAGCTCCCCCCAGGGATTGTGCGGTTGAGTCGCGGGATCCAACGATCAAGGCGTCTGTTTCCTTGACACGCTCAGAGGTGACTTTGGATGAGCTAGCCGTCTCTTTCATTACGGAAACGCTTCAAACCATTCATCCTCCTACACCTATCTCTACACCTGCCCCCACCCCCATATGTGCACCCGATGTTATTTCTACTTCTACTCCTGCTCTTGCTCCTGCTTTGAGGACGTCATCGGCAGAGAAAATGGCCCTGGCTGCTAAACAACAACGATTAGAACAGTATATTGCGGAGACCAAGGCATTGATGGCTAAGCTTGGTGAAGTGCGATCGAAAGAGGAGAAGGACCAAATCCTCAGAGTCCTCCGCGAGCGGAGTCGGTAAGCGTAGTTCCAGATCTCTACCTCAAGCTGGGGAAGCCGCTAAAGAGGCGAACAGTGCCATGGAGGACAACCCCGCGATGGATTCGCAGACAGCCAGAACTCCTTCTCCTGTTTCATCCGTTTCGCAACAAAGCAGCCGACGACCTGTTCCGCAAACGTGGAGGACAAGGTGGCCGGAGACATCTAGGGAGGCAACCATATTGATGATAAGTGACGACGAGGATGAAAGATAGCGGCTGGAAATGGGTACGTGTTTAACTCTGGTTTTCGTTACTTGTAGCAGGCAACAATATGTGGGACATCAAGAGAGCATGCTTCCGTTATCGGTTTCACATTACACCCCCGGAAGTACACTAGAATTATACTATACAAACCCCTTGTTCAGCACTGCTTTCATTTTAGGGCGAATTCATCGCCTCGCAAGTTCTCCAAGAGGTGAGTTGCAGTATGTGGACATTCTGAGCTGTCTCACGTGTTTTCATTAGATTTTCGTAGAGACTCTCAAGTCTACATAGGTGTCGAGTTGGACACGTCGGGTACATCATTCTAGGAATGATTGTAGATGGTAAATACTACCGCACCGTTGCGAATCTCTTGGCTTCTGCAAGAGAGACGGACGGTGTAGTGGCGCTTGATGCCATCTACCTAGTGCATCGACGTGTTGGGTAGATGACTATGAACATCATTTCGAGATCTGTCTTGATGTGCTTCGCAATGCTATTACTTTCGCTTGGATGTCTTGTATCTTGCGTGCCTCTTCTAAGCCCACGGTGGTGCGAGTTGGGTGCTGAGCTAGGAGTGCGTATGGTGTGCCTTCTGCTTTGTCTTACTGGACCTGAGCGCAGTAACCAAGCAGTGGCTACGGTTCCGGGTCAATGTCGATAACTCATCACGTGGTGCTAGGGCACAAGAGTCCATTTTGACGACTCTGAGTCTCAGTAGTTCTGAGTCCAAGGAGTCTGCATCCTATGCTTCACCACCAACATATCTAATTCCTCCACACTCTGCTCCCCATGTATCAGCCACCGCCTGCTGTTTTGCCGTGAGGACATCGTGTAACCACCTTCCGATTATATAGTTCCAACAGTTGAACTTTACGTATACTTGTACTTGCTACCGCTGTCTCTTTTGGCCGCCATGGCCAAGCAATCTCCCGTGCGCCCGCTTTCCCCAGTGTCTTCGAACATAGCTACTTTTTTGCTGCCTTCCTCGTCCCCTCGTTCAGGAACCCTCTCGGATACTGAGTTTGATTCTGGTCTCAATACGTCCGCCGCTTGGACTGTGTCTTTGGCGTCGACTCCCGAGACACTACTACATCCTGTTGTCGAAACCAATGCGAAGTCCTTGTCCGATGAGGAGCCTGGCGGCGATAGCGATGAAGATCCGGATGCCGATAACGAGCCAGGCCGCCCCGCGCGTGCTCTATACTTTTTTGAGGGTAAGCCAGAATTCCGAGAGCTCGCTTGTGTGGAAGCTGGGGACGAGCTGGAAGTGCTAAAAGAGGATGTGGGGGACGGTTGGAGTCTCGTAAAGATCACGAAATCTCGGAAGGAAGGCGACGAGGGGCGGCAAGGTGAGGTTGGCTTGCTGCCACAAACGTACTACACTGTGAGCAACCAGTTACTCTCCCATAAATTTTCCAACTGATGATCCACAACTTTATATACTTCGTGACCCAGTTTACTGCCGACTTCGCGCTTCTACCTGGGTTTGCACTCCCATCCGCGCACACTCGGTCACGAACAAGGCGAGAGGCATCAGGATCGTCCATCACACCCCGCGGTTCGCCTTCTCGCGGTTCACAACCGCTTCCCCTCGTCCCGCAGTTCACGGGCGAATGGTTTCCCAGTTTCCGTCGTAGTCTGTTGGGTGGTCGCAGTCTGAACCGCTTTTCAAACTTCGTCACAAGCGGTGCCGAGGAATTCGTATTGCAAGGCAGCGCAGAAAGCGACGCTCCGCCTCCCCAGAGTCACAGCAGGCAGTCTTCAGAACATGGTGTACATGGCGATGATAGCAATAGACAGAGCATGTTGGGAATGGCAAGTGAGACCGAGCGACATTTTGTCGATGTGGGTCCTACATGGAAGAGTAAGCTTCCCGCGTTCCGCGTACTGGTGCATTCGCCATCGAAAAGGAGCTCGTCGCTGACCGGACAGTACACCGTGTACACGCTCACCTCCATCTTTGAGCCGCAACCTGCCCATGATCGTGCTGGATCCGAACCTGAGTCGGACTCAGAGACAGAATCAGACACGGACAAGGACAGCAGGCCCGCGAGCATCACCGTTCAACGGCGCTTCTCGCATTTTGTGGTGCTGCACACCGCACTGTCGCGGCGACTGCCTGGAATCGCTCTCCCACCGCTGCCGGAGAAACAATACGCGGGACGGTTCAACGACGAGTTCGTCGAAGCACGGCGCGGCGATCTCGAACGGTATATTAATCGCGTCGTGCGCCATCCAGTCGCGCGATATGCGGAGATGCTGACCTTCTTTCTCGGTTGCGAAAGCGATGTGGTGGGTATCCTTTTTTTGACACCGTCTAGTTGGGTACATTGACTAGGACATACTGCTAGGAATGGAAGCGGCAGCTGCCACAGTACCTCTCGCTGCCGCCAAAAGGCCCGTCGTTTTATGCGGAGGTGTATCATCCTGCATTCAACCTCGACGCCGATGAAGCTTCTGAGACGGTAGATAAGTTTGTGAGCCATACGCGGGCAGCAGGCAAGGGCGTGCAAGGGCTGAGGAACATCTTCGGTAAGATTCGAGAGGCACGAATAGGTGAGTGTCTGGTGAGGATCCACAAACATAGCGGCTGATATGTTTTGCTTTACAGAAATGTCGAAGGCCGAGCGGCTGCTTTCATATTCATTTTTATCGCTGATCACCTCCAAACCTCTCGCGTCGACTTCAAATGGGGGTAGCATAGAGGAGGAGGAAGAGGACGAAAGCAGAACGAAAGGGCTTCTTAATGGGGATGGTGCATGGTGCTGGCGAGAGAACTGCGAAGGTGCGCTCGTGAGAGTAGAGGCTCCACATGACACTGATGAGGGGGAAGATTGTCTCAGGCTCACAAAGGCGGTACAGAAGACCTCCGAGACTCTACAGAGCGTAGCTGATCTATATGACAGTCATGTGGGTGGTCTGTTCTGTCAAGGTTAAAGTATTAGACCTTAAATGTCCATACCACCAGGCTAGAAAAACGCAGCTCGCGACTCACGAGTCCCTAAAGAATGTCGCACATCCCGCGACCATCTTCGCAGTATGTCCTGGCTGCTATCTACGCCGCCTGGGACTCATAATTAAGCGTATCAGCCGGTGATCGATACCCATAAATCCACGCTTTCACGATATAACGAGGCGATTCGAGAAGGCGAGGTGAGTGCACGTCTCATGACTACGACACATTTGACCGACCGTGTGGCCAGGAAGATGAAGAGACGGCTGCGCGCTGCGAGACCGTCCTGAACACGACGATGGCGGAGATGGACACCTACCATACGCAAAAGGTTGACGACTTCCAAGCCATCGCAAAGGACCATCTCGATGGCGAGATCGTGTTGTACGAACAGGTCCGTCGCACCGCGTGTCTGATATCCGTATCCTAGACCGATCACACCCCATGTCAACGCCAGATCTTGACTCGTCTGCGCGCTGCGCGACAGATGTTCGACACCCCACAGTACACCACGCTCGCTGAAGGTCCGCGCCAGCCATCGATGTACGAGCGCGAGCTGGACCATCCGCGCCTCGCCCCAGCGCCGCTCACCCAACCGTGCCCACACGTTTTCGACTCGGCGCCCATACGGCCTGTCAGCGCGGCCATCCAGGAAGGCGTGGGGATGCTGCTCGGCGGCGTCGCTCCCTCAACACGGGCAAGTGTGTTCGGCAAGCTCTGGTAGGTGGTAGAACGCACCGCTAAATGGAGGCTTGGCTCTTTCATGGGAATCTATCTTGTACTGCACTGGATTTTCTCGATACCATTCGAGTTTCGTGGGACTGAACTTGGCATTCTGCGCTACACATGGACTCGTCCGTCGATTCAACTATTGTACAACAGTACGTGCTACATGCGCTTTTGGCGCGGACGTTACAGCCATCTGTATTTATACGCATTCAATACGTCTCCTTCTCTATTGCATAATCCTGGGCGTGCGTACCATAAGCGTCGTAAATTGGGTGCATGTGCAACGCGGCGCAGCGGCCGCCGCCTGCGGGCGCAGACCACATGCAAACCGCCTTCTAATCCTCGGCGCCCGCACCGTCGGGGATATCAGATAGCAATGGTGGCGTAATATCGGCCACTTCTGTGATCCCAAGGCAGTATTCCTGTAAACTATCCGGGCGTGGGCTAGAGCACGACGAGCTGGCCCCGCTGTCCTCGGAGCACAGCGAATACGGTCGCGCGATGCACGGCGAAGGCAGGGCGACCACGACGGCAACCTGTAGACGGGAAGGGAGGGGTGGTGGCTCCACCGCTGAGGTAGGAAGGAGTTCTTCTCGGGGAACACGAGGCGTGCGGTAGAGGTGCAGGAGATGGTGACATTGACGGCGGAATGGAGATAATGCTGGCACTGGCGCTATGGGCTGCTCGGGAGGGGGAGGCTTAACATCCGTCTGTTCTGTAACAAACGAGGCGGCCAGTGGCTATATGCGCATCCTCATCGCCCCGTAAGCCCACTGCAACGCAGAAGCGCACGACGTACCATCAGCGCGTGCCATCCCCCAGGACCGAGGCCCTCCGTCCCCACACTGCGGCTGTACGGGGAGACGTGGACATCCCATATGCGGGGCTTCTCCCCCAGCCGAACCTCGCGGCGCCTCCGAGGGGTGCGAGTGGTGAAGTTCATGGTGGGGTAGATGCGCTTAAGGACGAGGATCGAGAGCACGACGCCCACCAGGAGACCGGACGCGACAAAGACGAGAATGAGCGGCGGGCCATTGGCCGAGTTGAGGACGAAGGTGCCGCCCACACCGGGAGCGGAGACGGTCGACATGGGGGCAAGAGGAGCAGACCGCGGGCGTGCGGGCAGGGGAGATATACATGTGCTCTCGGGAGAGCGCGTACCACGACTGAAAGACGCGCTCCAAGCTGAATGGAATCTGATTCGGAGTCGATTGGAGCGGGCCGAGAGGGTGGCCTGAGATCGTCGCCCAAGACAATGTTGCACCCCGCCTCGATTCTAGCACGCATAAATTCATGCGATATCATGGACTTGTCGTACCTCACCTCCGATGCTACCTGCTGCCCATGCTACTCACTCTGCTCGCCGCAAGTCATGCCCATCAGTGGAACAGCCGTCTTGCCTGGCTCTGCTCGCCTCCCCGCCGGGAGCAATTCAACGACCTAGCGAGGAATAAGACACAAGTAGCTGTGAGAAGACCGAGCTGGACCCACGCTGGGCAAGAAGACCGAGGATTTCAGAGCCAGAGCCCGCGAGGTGCTTAGAGCGACTGCACGGGAGAACGTGACCATGATGGAATCGCCAGTTCAGAAGCCGCGGCCCAGCGTCCTGGCAGCTTCGATATCGCAGCGAGGGGAAGAGAGCTCGAGAGTGCGGTGTCGCTGCTAGTCCGCTGCTGGTCTGCCCGCGCTACCAGCCTCGCCGGTTCGTCCCGCCCTGTCGTGCCAGCAATAATGCAGCGACCGCGCGTCTGGCGTGAGATCGTACGTGACTGTGCTCGCAACCCAAAGGCGTTCCTTCCCCACCGCTCAGTCATCCGTACAGTTCCGTCGGGAAGGCGAACATACCTTTTTTACTTGTTCCCACTGCTCAAGCTCGCGACGGCCTGCCAGTGAAACATGGGCTGACCGCGATATGACTCATGGTCGCCGTCACGGATAAACAGTAGTGATATGAGTATAATACTTACCACCGCGACAGGCCCTCCGCAACGCTGTCCGTCCGGTCTTGTGTCTCCTGTCCACTGCCTCTGTTTGTAAAGGCCATCCGAAACACTCAAAGGGACGTGATGAACGTCGTGAGAAAGCAGGGTGAGTGGCCCATCCCTAGTATCTGTCCAAGGCGGGTGTCTAAGACAGGTTGAGTGTGTGTTGCTACGCGACGTCTGCTGGGAGAGAGGGAAAAAGATGTTTCAGATACGACTTCGTCCGGGAAAGAGTTGTCATCATTCAACTAGTATGCCTGAGATCGTTTGTCAGTCTTGCGCTGCGATGATATATACCTCTGACTGTTCTCCGGGGTCAATCTCATCCTTGTCCTCGAAAACTCTCCCGCTCTCAGTACATCTAACATGACCATAGTGCTTAATCCCGTGTGGGTGAATGGCGTGCAGAAAATAAAGGTCGTTCCTCAAGGTATGTCGCGACCCGCTCTACGCGGAGACTGCGTGTCCTCACGGTGTCTACTGATAGCACCACCAAAGCCACCACGGGGACTCGTTCCGCCCGCATTGGATGACTCCGTGCACTTCACGCGCTGTCTGAAGCAGCTCCGGTCAAAAGACAAGAGCATCGAAAAGTATATCTACCTCACGCAACTCAAGGATGCAGACCACCGGACATTCTACAAGCTGTGCATGGAGAACATGCCAGTGCGTGCTTCCAAAATGTAATCGTGCAACGGGGTATTGAACTTTATTCCCAAGGAAATCACACCCCTCATCTACACCCCTACAGTAGGCGACGCATGCCTACAATTTTCACATATCTACCGAAAACCAGAAGGCTTGGTGAGTCATTAGACGATTTTTTCCCCCATAACCTGACAAAAATTGCCAGTATGTATCCATAAAAGACAAGGGAAACATCGGCAAAGTACTGAGGAACTGGCCAAGAATCAACGAAGCAAGGATTGCGGTCGTGACCGACGGCAAGTCGTGACAGATCTAGATGCATATATGCGCGCTAACGATACCCAGGTTCTCGAATTCTCGGTCTGGGCGACCTCGGTTTGAACGGAATGCCCATTTCCATCGGAAAGCTGTCGCTCTACGTCGCGGGTGCGGGGTAAGCCTCTCTCGCGCGCCAGATCCCCCGCCCAGCCGCTCACCATCCCCAGCATCCGGCCGACGTCTACCATCCCCATCTGCCTCGACCTCGGGACGAACAACCAGCAGTTCCTCGATGACCCGCTCTACCTCGGGCTGCGGCAGCCACGCGTCTCTCCAGAAGAGATGACCGAGTTCATGGAGGAGTTCATGTGCGAGATGGCCGCCGCGTTCCCGAAGCTGCTCGTGCAGTTCGAGGACTTCTCGACGGACAGCGCGTTCGCGTACCTCGCGCGCTTCCGCGAGCGCTACCCGCTCTTCAACGACGACATCCAGGGCACCGGCGCGGTCGTCCTCTCGGGCTTCCTCAACGCGGCGCGGCTCGCATCTGCCGCGTCCGGGCGCGCGCTCGCGGACCAGCGCATCCTGTTCCTCGGCGCGGGCTCCGCGGGCGTGGGCGTCGCGACGCAGCTGATGAGCTTTTTCCGCCTGCAGGGGCTCTCCACGGAGGAGGCGCGCCGGCGGATATGGCTCGTCGACTCGCAGGGGCTGGTCTTCGACGCGCGCGGGCCGATGGCGGAGCACAAGAAGTGTGAGTCCGGCCCGTCTGGTTTGGGCGATCAGCGCACTCACTCACGCCGGCGTGCGGCGCAGACTTTTCGAGACCGGACTATTCTGGCCCGCCGATGACGAACCTGACGGACATCGTCAACCACGTGAAGCCGACGGCGCTGCTCGGGCTGTCGACGATCAAGGTGCGCTCTGCTGCTGGCGGTGCGGCGGCGGCTCGCTGATGCGGCGGTGGTGCTCCACAGGGCGCGTTCAACCAGTCTGTCATCGAGACGATGTCTGCGCTGAACCCCCGGCCGATCGTCTTCCCCCTCTCCAATCCCGTGCGGCTCTCGGAGTGCGAGTACAGCGATGCGGTGGCGTGGTCCCAGGGCCGCGTCATCTTCGCGTCGGGGTCTCCGTACCAGCCGCTGGAGTACAACGGCCTCTTGATGCAGCCAGGACAAGGTGCGCCGCGTGCTGTCAGGCGCCCGCCCGTGTCCCGCTGACCCTCCTCCCCGAACCAGGGAACAACATGTATGTCTTCCCAGGTACGTGTCCACTCTGCTCCGCGCCGATGCACCGTCGTGCTGACCATGCCCGCCACAGGACTCGGGCTCGGCGCGATCCTCTCCCGCGCGTCGGCCGTGACGGACAGCATGGTGGAGGCGTCGTCGCTCGGCCTCGCGGACTCGCTCACCGCGGAGGAGCGCGCGCAGGACCTCGTCTACCCGCGCGTCGAGCGCATCCGCGACATCAGCGCGCAGATCGCCGCGAAGGTCATTCGCGCCGCGCAGCGTGCGGTACGTGCCGTCCCCCGTGGCCCCCCCCCTCCCCGTGCATACATGACTGACGAGCGCGCGGCCGCGTCTAGGGCGTCGACCGGAACGAGGACGTCAGGACGCTGTGGGACGACCAGCTGCTCGAGTGGGTGAAGAGCAAGATGTGGAATCCGTGAGCCGCGGGGGCGGGAGTCTGTCCTTTCGGCGCGCGGTTGGTGTCTTGGGTCTAACGCTATCGCTACGCGGTCCCCTAATGTATCAGGTAATTTAATATGGCCGGTCGAGGCCGCCCCATGCGCGTTCTTGGTGGGCTGCGAGGTGAAATGCGATGCCAGTTCCAGGTCACAGGGCTCAGTGCCCCCGAGGCGAATTTGCTTCCTTCGCACTCACCGGGGTTTCACGTTGCGGTAGCGCGGTTGGAAGGGCGCCGTTCCTTGTAATGACTCGGAGGCGCAAACACTGTAGACACGAGACCACTGGCGACAGGCAAATTACGTCACATATGGGTTTTCTAATTGTGACCAATGTAGCCAAATAAGCTGCCGACAGATTATAAAGTAGCCACAAACTTGCAAGTTATATTCAGAATATGCAAGCCTTGTGAATTTGAGAGGAACCAATGAGAATGGTTCAATCACAGTATGTAATGTATCTTTATCCTAAATAGTGAATTAGATTACAATATAATTCTAGATGTTTATAGCTAGTTTACTTGGTTGCATTAGTAACAATACAAAACCTAGTATGTTTCATAAATTTATGAGGGAAACGCCATGTCTCCGGTGTGTGCACTCGCAATACTACTACTCGCGCCACGCCGCTGCGGCCGATATTCGTGTGGTCGTGCGCAAGCGTAACATTCATGAATAAAAACGTCAGCGGCAATATACGGTATACCAGAAATGCGACAGGAGAGGGGACCAAGGAACGGGGAACGGGGAACGCGGACGGGACAGGTACGTGCTACGGGCCCTACAGCTTCTCGCTCGGCAAGTCTACATCTGCGCGCCAGGGGAGGTCCGCGACGCCGAGACACAGCGGCGCGGGCTCCTCTGCGCTGGGGGCTTTCTCCGCGTCGCCGCTGCTGCTGCGCGGGGGGCGCGGGGGCGCGGGCATGGCGATGGTGACCGCGACGCGCAGGCGGCCGTCGTCCGCGGCCGGGAGCGG